TTGGTGTTGTGAAGAAGACCATTATAGAAAGTATGGATTATTAACCATTATTCAATTACATGATGTGGACATAACCTCAGCATGTCCTTGTATCTTTCCCAAGCATTGAAAAGAGATCCATTGTATTTTTACCTAAATCCGTTGGTTTGGGCTCTTAGCATAGCAATTTTACTAGGTGGAAAGTATCGGGCTAATAAGACTTTCTTCAACTCATCCCACTTAGTGATGGAGTTGGATGGTAGAGACTGGAGCCAAGCTCTAGCTCTACCTCTTAAGGAGAAGGGAAAAAGACGCAGTCTTATGGCTTTGTTACTAACATCATTCACTTTTATGGTGTCTGAATATTGCACAAACATCGGTAACTGAAGGTTCAAGTCATCTGTAGGACTCCTAGAAAACTGGTTCTGTTAAACGACTTGTAACAATGAAGGTTTTAGCTCGAAATCATTTTGTTCGATGGCAGGGGCAACAATGCTATTATGAGGTTCATCTTGCAATGGAACAACATAATCATTGAGAGGACTGTTTGGTGGATTTTCAGCCATGGGAATTCTTAGTTCTGGAAAAGGGATTTCAGCTTCAGGACGATTGTATTTAATCCGGAATTGTTGATTTGGCATCTTAAGCTAATAAAATGCTCGATATCGTCAATCGACTGCTCTAACTGTTCGCCTTGAGATCGAGTGTTTGGCATACAATCGAAGAATTAAAAAGGAAAAGTGTTGCCTTAGTTTATATTGCGCAACAACAGAGTCACAATGTTGACTAAATTAGTCCTCGATAACAGTGCAAAAAACTTGATCGCGACTTTACAAGTCTAACGGAATCTAACTGCAAGTATACATTCTATCGCGTAGTTTTAAGAGATATCGAATCCACAGGGACAAATAACCAATCTACCTTATCGAATAATGATATGTAAAGCTAAGGCTAAAAGTTTAAAAATATTTGGACAGGAATAAAAACGTAAATTACTAAAGGTTTGAAAATTATCATAAAAAGAGGCCGGAATATAGATTCCGCGTTCCTAAAGGCCTTTGTAGATTTTAGGCACTAATATAATTAAACTATGTTCCGCAGAAAATATCGGTTTAAAGACTTCATCTCACACTCTTGCGCTATTGATTGAGCCACACTCCCTTACCATGAGATTTTGCTCTCGCTCGCCCATTTTAATTAAAAAGCGTATTTTAAAAATCAATTAAATCCTAATCGATACCTAAAACGCTCTCGTTGGTTTTAGGATCAATGTCTAGTTTCCACTATCCGGTTCAATCCTTACACTCTCGCGCTATCGGCTCGAACCTTAGTTTTATTTTCACTCTCATGATAAAACATTGAGACATACACTTGGAAACTAAAACTAAAACATAATTTATTTAGTATGTCGCACCTATTATTTTCTACCGAGTCTCGTCAGTAACGACGGTCCTCATACGCCGAACTTAGACGAATTTAGCAAGACATTATTTCAAATGAAGACATAAATACAACATTTGAATTTAAATGCATCATGCCATAAAGTAAATTAAATGCAGTGGCGATAATAAAATTTAAGCGATTAAAAACCTGTAAAGTAAAACAAAACGGACTTGAAGAAATAAATGACTTGATTAATTCCAGCAAGATTGTTGTTGATCCAAGAGTACAAAGAAGTAAAGAAAAATAGGTGATAGAGGATCCTCTTCTCACCCGTTTTGCATTCAAAGTAGCATATTTAATGTCTGTTGATAAGAATCGAAAATTTGACAGAAAGTTAAATTTCCTTGATTTAGCCTTGAAATTTTTCATTAAATCTGAAAGCCTTAACACCTCAATTAGGAAGTTTCAATCTAAAGTGTCAATAGTTTTCTTGATATCAATCCTTAAAATAACATTTTCAACTCAGTTCCTTTGATCCAATACATTCATTGCCTCCAAAGGCAAGATTGCACATTCCTCAATGTGCCAACCTGTAATGAACCCTCTTTGATTAATGGAAATGATTTTTGATGTAGTCTTTCTGCTACGATTTTAGTGATAATTTTGAAGAGAAGGTCGGCTAGTGCAATAAGTCTGAAGTCTCCCATCTTGTTAGCACCCTGCTCTTTTTGGATTAAAATAATGATATTGGTATTAAATGAATTCTCAATTTTTTCATGAATAAAGAAGTGGTGCGCTAGAATAACATCTGATCCTACTATATCCCAAACCCTTGGTAAAAGTGTCTCCCAAACCCATCTGGACAGGGCACATGTGCCATTCATATGAAATATTGTGTCTCGTATCTGATGGCTGATTAATCAGCCTTGCAACTGTAGCTAACTTAGCATGTGCTAAAGAATTATTATTTGTAATAATATTACCTATAGCGTGAATACCTACATTCTGAAGTTGGGCTCGTCATGATGCACACCTTCTGCAGTTACTAATGGATAATCCGGCATAATATGCACCAAAATGATCTCTAAAATGTATCTAATGTAACCTGTTATTAGTGATAATACTATCATGTTGTAATAACCATATAAAACAATAAATCCTTTCTGAAGCGCTAATTTTATAGATTCTATTCCATTTATTTAACACTACTTTAGTGTCAAAATTACTCAATAAATAATAAAGGCACTCGCAACAAAAAATTACCATCACTACTTCCAGGCTACACGCAAAAATACTTACCATAATCTGCACAAAGAGGATGACTAGCATGTAAGTTGTTCATAATTATTGAAGAAAATAGAAAAACTGTTATTTATTATTCCTCAGTCTGAGGCTAGTTTATGTAGTGGAGATATAACTATTACGTTTGATTCGTTCTTTAATGGAGAATAAAGAAAAATAAAGGGAGTATTAAAGGAAAAATAAAATTGAAAATAAAATATTTTTTTAACGTCTCTCCTTAAGTTGGTGCATAAATATACATCATGTCCAATTTGTTTATCAAATGCTCAAAGGTAGGTCTTGCCAAATTTTTTGTCAAGATATCCGCAAGTTGTTGACTTGAAGTCACGAAAGGTAGACATATGATTCCAGCATCTAACTTCTCCTTTATGAAGTGTCGATAAATCTCAATATACTTGTTATGTCATATTGAACTGAATTATGAGATATGCTAATAACAACTTTACTATCATAACACAATTTCAATGGAAGCTCAATTTTCATCTTAAGTTCTTCTAGGACTCTAAGGATCCATAATCTTCACAAATACCTTGAGACATAGCTGTAAACCTAGCTTCTATGCTACTCCTTGCTACAACTGATTGTTTCTTGCTCCTCCATGTCACAAGATTACCCCAAACATAGGTATAATATTCACAAATACCTGTGACTGAACATGCCCAATCAACATCGGTGAAGATAAATACATTTCTTTCATTAGTATTCTTAAAAAATAAGTCTTTTCTAAGATTTTCCTTCAAAATATATCAATATCCTATATACTGCCTCAAGATGGTCATCGAAAGGAGAATGTGTAAACTGACTTACTACACTAACGAGAAAACAATATCATGTCGAGTGTGTGAAAAATAAATCAGTTTCTCAACCAATTTCTGATATGTTCCAGTATCAACAGGAACATTACCTTCTCCCTAAAGCTCAACATTAGGTTCCATAGGGGTATTTGCAAGACAACATCCACTCATTCATGTTTCTTTCAATAAGTCTAGAATGTTTTTCTGTTTATTCTTTGGTCGAGCAACCTCCATACCTAGAAAATATCTCATGAATCCCAAGTCCTTGATTTCAAAGTCTACTGCCAATTTCTTTTTTACTCTTGTCATTTCCACTATATCGTCTCCAGTAAAGACAATATCATCAATATAAACAATCAGGACAACAACTTTTCCATCGTGGAAGAACTTTGTGAACAAGGTGTGGTCAACCTGTCCTTGGATGTACCCTTATTTTTTCATGGAGTGAGTGAATTTTTCAAATCAAGTTCTAAGGGACTGCTTTAATCCATACAAAGACTTATTTTGTTTGCATGCATTTGATCTAAAATTATTTTCAAAATCATGAGGAATGTTCATATATACTTTTTTTTCTAGATCGCCATTAAGAAAGACATTCTTAACATGAGAAATACTTGTATGAAAATATAAATCCATATTCTTCTAAACATTCAATAAGAAGAGAGAAAATTTTAAATTTATTTAAAATTTAATTTATTTTTTAATTGAACTCATGGAGTGATTGTCATTCAGAAGGAGAGAGAAATTTTATTATTTATTTTTTAATTAATAAAAAAATTATGATTAGCCCTATAAAATTATTTCTTATAATTGTTTTCTTCTAAGAATTTTTCTCTTAACATCTAACCGATGTAGGGACCAATCCAATTAGCAGCAAAAGATAAAAAAAATTTAACCGTGTTTAATTTTACAACAGGAGCAAATGCATCTAAGTAGTTTATACCATAAGTCTAACTAAAATATTTAGCCACCAAACGAATCTTATATCTTCCAATTGATCTATGTGAATTATAGTTCATAACAAACACACATTTACATCCAATTGTCTTCTTGCCATAATTCTGAAACTGGTCTTGAAGATCTGAATGCACCAATCACTATATTCATCAACCAAATATTCTGCCGAGTCTCAACTATGTTCACATTAATCTTTGACTAGGTCCACTCTTATAATAATTAAACCCATCTCGCACTTCAAATTATGCATGCTATAAAGCTATAAAGCATTTCCTCCATGTCAGAGTCCTCTCTATCAAAGATTCAATGTTCATCAGCATCAACAAATTCCTCCGTCTCACCATTGAAATCGTGGTATGATTTTTTGTTCAGTAAGATAAACAAGAATAAGGTGATGAAAATAATGCATAAGAAAACAGAAACTATAAAAACACTAGCACATTTATGACTTCTTTTAAGATTAGAGATTACAACATTCTTTACACAAACAACCTTACACATTCACGCAGTTAGCACATTAACACTCGTTGAATCGAGATCAGACGATCTATATTTTTATGCAAAATTTTGCAATATCAAATTGTGTCATCTACTAAAAACATAAGCATAGAGAAGCTCATTCCATGTGTCAGGCACACCAGGTAGACACCAATGTATGCAATCTGCATAAGATTTCGGATTCGACATTTCCTCTTCTGTTAGAGGCTCCCATTGTTTCCTATAGATAGATGGATGACCTTCTTTTCTATACTCCGAAAGTTGTGTGATGTTAAGCATTTCAACTTTCAAACCTCTTGTTTTCAAATCTTGTATAACATTTTCCACAACTTGCATCATTTTCGGAACTGAACCATTTCCACTATATCCTTCTTCTGTTATTTGATTTCTTTCTTTGTAGCAATTTTCACCCTCAGTTCCTCCCCATTCACCAGCCCTACAATAAGATGTATCAATATAGTCTTAATGCACGATAACACGATAGCACGATAAAGTAGTTGAATCAATGTTTTAAAAATCGAACTGAAGATAAAACCAGCGTGACTTTTAGATCACGACTCAATTGTTATGTATTGAGTTAGTTATGATACGTACCTTTGGTGAGTAGGTGACATAGAAACGAAAAACAATTGAGTCTTGTTTCGATTAATATGAACTTCCAACCAATCCGACCAAGTTCGCAACGCCATCTCGTATACTCTAACCATTCTTACCTTTTTGTATACTCCATTAGGGTCCCCAAATGATCCCCACCTACAATTGTAGTTAAAATGTCTCTATTAAAACAAGTTGATGAAAGAAAGTGATAGGTTGTTTAGTTGTTGAACTTACAAAACATTCATTGCTTGTCTTCTCCACCAAAGAAAAGTGTTGAAGACTAAAACATCAGCATCAGTCCAATACTTTGCATGTTTCTCAATGGCTTGAACTCTCACAATCCTATCCTCTACCTTATGATTCACCGGATCATCTGAATTTGATTCTACGAGTAATGGCGCCCAATAGAACTCGATTGTTGCATTGTATTCCTTTCATTAAAATTGTCAATTCAAAAAAATTTTAGTCATGTAACATTTTGTAGAAAAAAATGAAACTTTTAGTTGATGAAGTTTCTTACTTACTTTGGCCTTGAAAATGGTGAGTGAACCATTAGCAATGGTGTGCATGGATTTGAGAGTTGAAGGAATTGAAGATTCAACTAGACAAACCATTGAGACCCATTGGCCTCTATTGAGTGAATCTCCAACAAACACAAGCCTCTTGTTCCTTAGTTTTTCAAGCAATATTGTCGCATTGAACCTTATTAACATAAAAAGGAAAATAGATAAATAAATAAAATCGGTTAAATCAAGTTCAACCAAAATACGATACATTCAAGATCAAACCTCAGTTTCTAGTTCAACTGATTGAACCAAACAATTTGTCCAAAAACTCATATTTTAACTTAAATCAACTTTAAAAAAAATTTCAAAATACGAGTCTATCTGATAGCGTTGATATAACTTATTAATTCAACAACGAGACGGAGCAAAATAAAATCACCTTGGCAGGTCACATTGATGAGGCTTCCATCTCCAATTCTGATAACTAAGATCCTTTCTTCCAAACTTCTCACAAGCCAATTGATCTGACATGAACTTACACTCTTGTTCTTTGTAGAGAGGATAAGATTCATTGTCGAAAACCCATTTACCCGAAAACAAGTTACATTTCGACAAAGATTCATCTAACATAGTATTTGCATGAGACCATTCTCTTCCTTCTTGTGTAAAATATATGGCAGTGACAACTAAAATAGTTGTTAAAATTGCTACAAGAGAATGAAAAGTGATTCTGATTCCAAATTTTTTTCCTAGAACTACTATTTGGTGTACCTTCATTGCCATTTAGATTTCAGTTTCTTTGTTTCTGTTTTTTCTCCTTGTTTTAAGATTCTTAGAAACTAGTTGGTGAGAAGTTTTTATCATCATGCATGTATGGATTTTGTTTGTGATGTGTTTTCTAAGTTAAACATAATCAAACTTTTCACCTACTTTTGACCTGAGTTTAAGTAAACAATGATCTAAAACTTGAAACTATAGTCTTATACTATTTTTGTTTTAGTTGAAAATTAGAAGGAACTTAAAAAAGAAGTGAAATAGAAAATGGGTTTATTGTAATTGAGATATCATTACATTATCCTTGATTATCCTGAACCACCAAGTTGATTATGTTCTAGTCTTCTTTGACTAATTATCAGTGATCACATTATGTTAATGCTTATTAATTTTTAATATTTATTAAATTTTCGTATTAAAGTTCATGCACTTTTTCATCTTACAGTTGTACAGTAATTAATTTACTATTAAAACAGTTATCATGAGAAAACCATATAAAGTGACATTTATGATGTAAAAAAAAGTAAACAAATCTTGTTGTTATGAAGAGAACAATTAATGCATCTACACTCACTTACTACCACTAACAAAGAAATCTTTGAAAATGCAATGGCTCCCATGTAACCTATATCAATTCCAATGCAGCTTGTATTTTTTGAGTCCCATAACCTAACTTATAAAGAAAATTAGCTAGGAATTGAATAAGAATTAGTTACAAATTAACTACTATTTCTAAATTTAGATATGGAGTTAATATAAAAAAAATTAAAATGGAAACAATTGACACGTGACATCCATGTCAGTGTTTTTTTTCCACATTGCCATTGTCACATGTACGCCACGTCATAAAAAAATTTCACATGGCATGTCACGTAAATCCCCGTTAGTGGAAACTAACGGGAGAGACCAATTTCAAGGATGAAAAAGTTTGTAAGGACCATTGTTTAAAGAAAAATTTTAGAGGGACTAAAATTGAATATTGACATATTTATGAGGACCTCTGACATATTTAACCTTTAAAATTTTAAGTGATAAAGAGAAAGAAAATATGTTTCGAGATTTCATAAATTAAAAGTCTTAAAAATAGACAGGAAGTCGTCAGAAGGTGCCGAAATCATTAGAAAGTTTTTCGACTGAAGTGATCGGCGACCGTAGGAGACAGTCACGAAATTAGTGTCGGTAGAAGGTAGAGCCCCAACCACGGTGGTCAGACGACCTTGTTATGAAATTAATATAATAATTAAAATCACGTCAGAAGAATTATTAAGAGTTTAATCACACCAAAAAATTTGATGTGTGCGATAAAGAAAAATGGCAACCACACAAATAGTCTCAAATAATAAAATTAATAATAGGGGAGAACACAAGAAATTTGTTTGCCTGGACTGGTCAAATTGATATACATCTGGGGGAGAAGTAGCTTTCCAATTTGAAGGTGAGAAATATACACAAGAAGGGGGCTAAATTGTGTGATTAAATATCATTTCGCTTCTGAACTCAGATGTTCAGAGTCTGAACCATGTTCAGAATCTGTTAACAAAATATATAGAAGCAGAAAAATAAAGTTTATAAGTAAATGCAATCAACACACAAAAGTTATCATGGTTCCTCTCTTTAACTGAGAGTAGTCTAGTCCTCTTGTCTCAACAATAGCTTTTCACTATAACCAAACAGATTACAAATGCTCAAGCCATAACTCGAGATTTTTTGCTCAATCAACTCTGAATGAGACTTTCTTCCTCAAGCCACTGCTCAAGACTTCCTGCTTAAACCTTCTGGTTCAAGACTTCCTGCTTAAACCCTTTGAGACTTCCTTGAGACTTCCTTGCTCAATCAACCCTGAATGAGACTTCCTTCTTAAACCCTCAGTTTAAAACTTCCTTGCTCAAGCACGTAGGTAATATACCTCTTCTACATTAAACAAACTGTTTAGTAGACAAGATAACTACTATACTTTTATAAACAATTAGAAGTATAATAGTTATCCAACAATCACAAAGGTTTACTACCTTTTTAAGATTTCTAAGATAATTCTTAGATAAGAAATCTTAAGATCTTTTGCTATAACAGTTATAATAAAAACTCAGAGTTATATTAAGATCTTTCTATATGTTGTGATATTGTAACCTTTCTTTGAGTCTTCAGCTTTCTTTTATTGAGATAGAAAAAGATTCGTTGGAGGTTTAAACAACAACAAACTTAGTGAAGAAGTATGCCCAAGAGAGACTTTGGAGAATTGCATCTATGTCAGAACCATAGTACATTAAATATTAACATTGTCCATAACACCTTTTGAATAACTAGGTATCTACCAAAAGGTAGTACATACTGAAGGGATCACATCTCCATTCTTGAGCCTTGCAAAACCAAACCTTAGTTGACTCTGTACAGAAATCTGGGGCTCTAATAAGACAATTCTACTTTGGTGCAATGTACAGATCAACTGCTCTCCACATCTTCGGAAACTGAGTTGTCATCAGAAGTTGGGTCATGAGTCCAGAGTCTGATGAACATATTCAGATTATGATCAGCCAACTTTGAGTATTGCTACTTCACTTGTGCTTTCAATAGGATTAATGATGAATTATTTAGTTTATGATCTTGCACACTTGAACATATGTTAGGAAACCATATTGTTCTTTTAATACTTTGTTATCATCAAAACCTTTTCAGGGAATGAAAAAATCTTGTTCCAAAAATCTCTCCCTTTTTTATGATGCCAAACAAATGTATTTAAGAACAATGGTTGATGATTTAATTAACATAGTCTAACATCAGAGTCTGAGGTTTGTAAGCTCCCCCTAAGTTAGATAGTCCTCTAAGGTGAGGTTTGTAAGCTCCCCCTAAGTCTGGTAGTCCATTAAGACGAGGTTTGTAAGCTCTTCTTAACTCCTTATCTATGCTATTTGAATCTTATAACTTTAATCAACAAATTCTAACATCAGGGTCTGAGGTTTGTAAACTCTCTCTGAGTTTGAAAGACTTTAAGTCAAGGTTTGTAAGCTCTTCTTTTAGTCTGACAGTTCATTAAGGTAAGGTTTGTAAACTTTCCCTAATTCTTGTCTTTGTTAATTAAGTTTATCATTTAAGAAATTATTCAGTAGGAAAGCATTTAAGGATGTTGCAAAAGAAATCCCCTACTCACTGATAAAGAATGTTTGAGAGAAGAGAGAGAAACAAAAGAAAGAGGCTGAAGATCTTGCAAAAACTCAGAAAACCATAGATGAAGGTATATCTGGTGGAATTTCTGAGAAAAACAAGTTTCCAGCAGATGATAGAGATGAAGAGTGGGATGAAGATTACAAGGAGTAGTTACATAATCTAACTTGTTCCAAAAATCACTTCCTTGGACAGGATGCAATGAGGCATACAGACCTCAACATGAGTTATTCTTCCGCTAACATTTGATATAAGGGCGTCTAACAACTTAGAAGAAGAAGTTTCTTCCTCCAAGGAAGTCTCAAACATTCTTTCTGACCGATAATCTTCAGATGTCGATATAATTTCTGGTCCCACACGACCAATATCGAGAGAAGGGTGAGAAGAATCAGGGGGTGACCTAGATGAAGTGTTCACTTCTTAATCACTCATTAAATTGACAGTTTTATCACTCATCTTAACCAAGGAAATGGGAAATGCTAAAGGAAAACTTGAGTTAGATGGATACCTGGTTAGAAGAGATTGATGAAATAAGAGGAATGAAAAAGGCGAAAGCTTTAAGTGAAACTTTGAATCACTTATAGTGATATTCAACTCACTCTATTTATAAGTAATGACAGCTGGAACATTAAAAATAACTATGAACAAAGATCACAAGATCATCGACTATATCTCCACTCATAGAAACACCCCAAACTCAAGTGCGCTTAAGCATTCTAAGAATTGCGTCATACCCTATTTGGTCAATTGTCGCACGTCTCGAAAATGGGGTAATGAAGCGTCTCAATGATGTAACCATCTTAAATGCACACGGTCCCCATTACTTTTTCAAAACTGATTCCAAGCGATCCAGTTCTATTCTGCATCAGACCATAACATGGAGGCCGATCAATAATGCTTAAGGCTTCCCCTGAATCCTTCAATGATCGAAAAAGCCTTTGGGGCAACTCTTCTAGACCAGCTAAAGGCCTAATCCATCTCAAATCCATTATACTTGACTCAAAGTATAAAAATAATTCACATGTGAAGAGCAAGGTACACAATCTGTGATCTCCAATTTCACTATACTCATCTTGAATCTTGAACTAAATTGAGCGTTGGACTACTTGAAGAATCAAGCTTCTCAAATGTGTTTTGATGAAGACAACAATATTATGCAGCCTATTGACAATGACAAAAAGGAATAGCTCAAGACAAGTTTCAAGTTTATCAAAAAAGTCTTGAAGTTACTAAAAGATTGATCATGAATTAAGGTATATTAACACATCTTATCTTTTCATATACAAGTGTTCAAAATATCAATCTTACTTGTCATATTTCATTAAAACAATTGCTTGAGAAAACCATTGCATGCTACACTTTTTTCTAAAGTATTTTTATATTTTTAACACTGGTTAACGGATTAACCGTTTGATAGTTCAAAACTGTTAATTGATTAACCGTTTAAAACTTTCAATTTTTTGCACGCTGGAAGTGGATGACCGATTAACCATTTGCCTTTGCAAATGGGTTAATCGATTAACCCTGAAACAGTATGTAAAAATACTTTGTTTTTTCAGCAGAATAATTTTCAAATTTGATTTTTTGAAGCATGATATCATTTCATTAATGGCACTCTTTTGTATAGGTGTCTTGTGCCTATATAATCTCATATTTTCAGATTTTAAACTTCACTTTCTTGCAAAAAATTTTAAACATTCTCTTCATCTTTAAACTTTAAAATTTCTCTAAGTGTTCAAAACAGAATTTTTCAAGAGTGAAACTTGTGCATTAAAACTTCATAAAATTCATCCTAGTTGCATTCCTTCATTAAAGAACACTTATATATTCATTGAGAGAGTTGTTTATTCAAGAAGAAAATCAATCTTTAGATTAATAATTGAAGATCAATTTCAAATACTCATACAAAAATTCAGAATTATTCTTTGCTTGTTACATCTTATTTTCAGGATTATTGAATTTAAGATTGTAAAGTTGTATTCCTTGTTGTCCAGGATTGTTGGAAGTAAGAGAGTGATTAAGGGAGGATTGTTCTCTTAATTCACTTAGTTGTAAAATCTAAGAGGTTGTTCTTGGTGTGCTTGTTAGAGATTGTATAGAAAGGCTAGGATAGTCTTGTCATAAGATCTAACATTATTAAAAATCTCTTTTATGTTGAAAGGGGACTAGAGTATTCTTGGACTGCGAGGGGAACTAGGATATATCGCTGTGTCATTTACTTTCCGTATTTATCGCTTTCATCACATAGTAATCAATTAGGAAAGTAAAACTTGAAACCATCAAAAATCCGAAAAAAATCTTCAAATACCTAATTCACCCCCTCTTAGGTGCAACTCTTACTAACACGACTAACCATGCAAGTCTACCCCACACCACTGTATTCATTTCCAGTACCTTTGCGGAGCTGGAGTCTCTGTTTCTAGTTCCTAACAGAACAAATACATTTAGAGAACACACAATTCATTGTAAAGAGCTTCTATGCTTTAAATATTGGCATGACTTTGTTAGAGATATGTTGTTTAATATACTTTGGTGTGCTGGCCGGAGTATCTGTGAAGAAAAGAGACGCTTGTGAATTTTTTGACTAACTTATCTGAGAGAAGATCGACACTTAGGTAAACAAATCTTTTAGCGTATGGTTGGGTAGGAGGGAAGCATGTATGTATGAACTTGACTAGGATTTTTCCACTTGCTTTATACTTTTAGTTTTCTATCATCATCAGAAGTAATAAATGTTTTATATAAAATTCAAAAACTCATGCATATGTATAACAATATTGTGTCATCTAAATCAACAAATATAATTTTTGAAAAGAAGATTAATGTTGATAATCTAAAAAGATTAAGAGTGCAACTTATTGGTTGATTGCCTTATATTTATGTATAGTCTTCAATATCAAAGTTAATTACATTATTTTAAATTTTGGAATTGTTATTTTTATTCAAAATAAATTTTTATCAAAGCTTAACAAACACATAGCACATAGATGACCCGTTATACATATTTCCATTAGAGATGAAAGAGCTTAAAAAAAGGAAAAAAGAAAAAGGACTTTGAATATCAAACTATTCAATTCAAAACCTCAAAAGTGGACAAACTAGAAAGGTGGTGCTCATGCAAGTGGATAATAAATAAATCATTAAAAAACATGTCCTCTCTACACACTTGTTGTCTATTTCTTATCTCGTGTTATGTTTCCTTTCTCCAACTTGATCATCAACTTGCACAAACCGACGATCTAATAATAATCTTTTTCTCTCAACTCACCAATTTCTTCAATGCTTCCTTTTTTATTCCATTTCTTTCTCTTTCCTTTAGTCACGCACAACTTGAATTTAAATACTACAACAACTTGATGTTAATTAAAACTTGAGTGTCCACAAAACTATATATTATACTACATGCAACTTGCATTTTCTTTTACCAAATCTTGTATAATATAATATTACATTTGATGACGTATAGGTTGATAAAAAGTATATACTCTTTAATGTTCCATCTAGTTTTTTTTATTTATTTTGCTAAGATTGTCTCTTTTTTTTCTTTCATATTCATAAACTTTAAGATTCATAATATATTGGAAGATTAGATTAATTTATAGTAACGTTACAAAAGTAATTTTAAGAGAGAGGAAAATATATTGCTAGTTAGTTAGTGAGTCTAGAACTTTAAGATTCATATTATTAAATTTTTGTTCTAAATTATTTTTGTGATGCATGTGCTTATACTAAGAAGAAATTTAATTAATATTATTTTTCTACTAAAAACCTAAAACAGATTAATTCCATTGTTGTTTTTTCTTTTTTATCAATAATATATTATTTGCTTATCTCAAAATTATTATAAAAAAATCCTTAACAAAAAAAAGACATAAACATCAATTAATTTAACAAAAATGCACACTCCAGTATTTAGTACAATAATTATCTTCCTACTACCACCATCTCCACTTGCTTAATTTTAAATTAAAAAACTCCTATATGATAAGGTTCCAATTAAACTTCTATATATGGTTAAACCAGAAAAGCAAAAACACAATAAATAATAACTAACATTAACATCAATGATTTATTTTAAACTCTTTTATCGAAATTAATTCAAGAAAAAATAAATAAACTAGGAAAACTTGGTCTTATATTATACCAACTCATACATTAAACAATCTAGTAATAATAATAATAATAATCACAATATACACAATACTTAATCAACAATATTAATATATCATAAATATAAAAAAAAAATGAAAAATTAGGAACAACATTTGTAATGATCATTGTTGTTTTGTTGAGTAATATTCTCTGCGGTTTGTGCGAGTGACTGAAGATTACACCGAACAATTGTGTCAACAAACACACCAGTGTCCTCTTTAGTATTTCCCGGAGGAACATCCACCACGTAGGACTCAACAACCACCGTGCCGGAGCTATCACCTTCGCCGGAGGGATGAAGTGTTGTAACGGAACGGTAGTTAGCAAGCCGGTGATCTCCACCCACAACGCTAAAACTGATGACATGTTGGTCCTCGTCGAGGATCTCGAGGCGTTCGGTGCTGCGGGCAGCAGGGAGGCCGGATATAAGATTGACCTCCCTGAGTGTGCCCACGTCACCATCGCCGTTGATGAGACTACAGCTTTTGATGAAGTTTTTGTAGGCTTGTGGTTTGTCGAAGCGGCGAACCACGGACCAGACGGAGGCGATGGAGGCGGTTGTTTCTTGGACGACCGCCGAGCATAGTTGGTTGGAGGAGATGGGATGTGTGTGGTAGTGTGATATAGTGTTAGGGATGGTGGTGACAGGGTTGACAAAGAGCGGGGTGTTTTCGCCGGGGAGGTGATCATGGTGGTTGGTGACGGTTGGAGTGGTGGTGTGGTTGATTCTATGGAGGAGGAGAGAAGATTTTGGTGGATTTGGAGGCATTTTTTTGATACTATGGAGGAAGATAACTAAAAAGAAAAAAAGTTGTAATAAAAATTTGATGGTTCTTGAATTTGAAGAAAGATGAAGATGAAAGAAAAGATGATTTTTTTTTTTTTGAAGAGGGGTTTGGGTATGTTATGTGGTTAGGGTTATATAGTAATAACTTTAAGGTTGGTCAAGTTGAGTTGTTTTTTTTTCTTTGTGTGGCTTTGAGGGAGAGAGAGGTGTTACATGAAATTCATGTGGGTGGTGTATTAAAATGGAGAGCAAGTTGGCCGACATCAATTTGCCAAATTGGGGTTTTGTATACTTTTTGAGATTTTGTAAATAGGTAGGGTTTTGTTTTTGTGTATAAAATAATGTGTTGATTAAGTTCTCTTACTTGGGGAATTAAAAGACTTTTTAAATTACAAATTTGTTTCTTTGTTTATATCAATATCTAGTCATTAAATGGAATTTTTAATATTGATTTTCCTTTTAATTTTAATTAAGATATATATTTGTGTGAGTAGTGTGATAAAATTAGTCTTTGTACGCTCTTTTTGGACAATAGAAAATCGTTAAAAGAAAATTTTAGTAATTGTGTTGTGAATTGATGTCGTCAAGAACAAAAGAAAATATGAGAAAAGAATTTGAGTTTTTTTGAATAAACACAAGAAACTCTGTTAGGTTTTACAAAAGGGAGAAAAGTAGGAAGAAGAAGAATAGAAATTGGTTAAACTTGTTTTTCTATTCACTTTCTCAATAAGGGTTTAAAGATTACAAGTGAATACCAACAATTAACCTCTCTCAACAATCTGAGAAAACTAGTCTATTTATAAACTAATGAGCTAACTTAGGATATAAGCTAACTTAACAATTGAGTTTAGAAGTAAGGCCCAATTCGACATACTAACTTAAATTACAAGTTAATATTTTTCAACATTATGCTTGAACAGACTTCTACTACAACTTACACAACTCATGTCGAACTATGAAGCTACTCTTGTCGACAGTAGAGTTCGATGCAAATACCACAAATCTTCACCTTGGAACAAACTCTATAACAATGGAACAAACTAACTTTCATCATGCAATTTTATCAACTGCATACAGTGGAAAAACTTGCTACTTGGCAATGTCTTTGTGATCATATCAGCAACATTGTCATCAGTCGAAACCTTCAACACTTGAACTTCTCCACGCTCGATCATCTCTCTGACAAAGTGCAGCCTCACATCAATGTGCTTGATTCGCTCATTATAGGTTGAATTCTTTGACAGGTTTATTGCGCTTTGAATATCACATTTAATAACGATAACTCGACCTTGAAGTTTCAGCTCCTTAGCAAAACCTTCAAGCCACATTGCCTCTTTCACAGCTTCAATAAACGCAATATACTCTGATTCAGTGGTTCATAAGGAGACAACCTTATGAAGTGTTACTTTCCAACTGATTGTTGTGCCAAACATAGTAACACATATCCATAAATAGATTTTCTGCAATCCATAAAACCTGCATAATCAAAGTCGACAAATTCTTCGATTTTGACTTTGCTATCATAAGAATCCACTTTAATGCTTGTCAGTGCACCTTCATAAGATTGACCATATAGCTGGTTACAAGGCTCACTTCGTATGTTATGTCTGGCCTCATACAGACCATAACATACATTAAAGAACATATTGTACTAGCATATGGAATGATACTCATATAGGCTCTTTTGACTTCAGTACTAGGACTTTGAATCATACTTAGCTTGTACTGAGGATTAGTCGGTGTTAGAACATGCTTTGAATTCGACATGTCAAACTTGTCGAGAATCTTCTTCAGGTATGTCTCTTAAGATAAGCATAACTCCAACTTCTTTCTATCTCTCCGGATGTAAATCCCAAGAATTCAGGAGACAACTCACAAATCCTTCACCTTCATAACATCTTCGACATTGTTTCTTGCTACGAGGATGTCATCCACATAAAACAACAACATAACAAGTGAATTTCTAGGTCGAAATATGAAGTAAATACAAGGGTTGAATGTTCAAACTGCAGCATAGCAGCAAGAAGCAAAAGATTTGGAAGAATTCCCTCTAGGTTTTATCGTGTCCATAGAGATCGGTGCAAGGGAAAGAATGTTGTTCGATAATCTCTATCTCTCTAAGCATGGGTTTAAATGGTTTGAGTGAGTAAAATGCGGAAAGTAAAAGATATTAACAAGTTGATATGCACTAACTTTTGAGAATTATGCATTTCCTTCAAAATTCCTGAAACAACTTTGTTAACTTTTGGAATATTAATTCTTTTGTGACTCAAAGAAAGTAATTTGCCTTATAATTACAAGAATGGCAGAATTTGATACATGCATAGAAAATAAACGAGACTGATATGAAATAAATGAGAAATAAGAAATGGAATTAAGTAGAAGGGACACCACACTCTTTCTAATCCAAGAGAGAATGATAAGCCTATGGATGAGGATCACCACAAGAAAAGAATTTCTTGATAAGATCAATTTTGGTCCAATCCAGAACCTATAAGAGCAAATACTCTCACTTACACAATGTGTAAACTCGACAAAATTCATTGATTCAAAAAGAAGATACATGCCTCCTTTATATAGGAATGGCTTAAGATGATGAAATAAGTAAACATTAACTCCTAAGAAAACAAAAGGATTTCAGCCACTAATTATCATGATAGTGGGTTGAGTTATTACAAAGAAAGTGCAAAATAAAGAAGAGATAGTGGGGTTCTTAAAAAGGCATAATAATGACAATTCTTTATTTACCACTTCTCTTGCAATTTTCGTCCATTATAGTGTGGTTATTGGTATTTCCTTTATTTTTATTTATTTATGCATTATTGGGCCTTTTATCACATGCTTGGATGATAAGAATAAACTTGAGCTCTGTTTCTTCAATTTGACCCATGCATTCTATTGATTTGATCATGAAGTGAAATAAAGCATCATTGACTCTTCTTGCACGTGCCCTTGTCATAGGACCTCCTAAGCTTTGCATTGTATCATTTATGTCTTGGATTACGTCCTCAAATACCCTACTCTTGATATAACGACTAGATTTGTCTTAAAATTATTTTCCTTTTCTCACTTCATATCTATTGTATTCATAATTAAAAAAAAACTTCATATTTGTTGTGTGATTTACTCTTAGGCTAATGATAATTTTGTACTCTCTTGTCAATTGAATGTATTATACTCAGAGAAGAAGTAATAGATAAAAATGGTTATGAGATACCAAACATAAATCAATCCATTATGTTATCAATGATACCCTGCTATGTCTTCCTCTTTCTAAGTTGTAGACTTGTACTTCACAGAAATTTTTTGTGTATCAGAATGTAACTAAAATATTATAGAACAAAATTCATTTATTTTAATTGAGCATTAAATTTGCCAGTATATACTTGGTGGCAAGTCATAACATATGTATAATTTTTATTTGGAGTTTTGACCATGCAAGTATTTCTCCTCTACACAATGCCAATATATGTTAACTTGTCTTTTTTTTTTTTTTGTCTCATCTTACAAACCATCAATATTTTGTGGTATGTTCTATAATGTTTTTAATCTTCAATAATTTATGTTTATATTATAAAATGTCAAAATTTATTTTTTAATTAAAAAAACAAATATAAAAAACTTATAATATTTTAAAAAATAATTTTATAAAATTTATTTTCAAAACTTTAAAAAAAAATTCATTTTTTAAAACATAAACAAACATGTCCAAAATTACTATAACAAATAGATTAATGATAATAATTGGGTACATAATCAAAGTACAACTTGTACTATGTGATAATATTTTCATTTGTTTAGATTTTGCTTGATATTTTATTTCTTTATGCATTTTTAAATATTTGTGTGTGCATGCATGTGACATGAGATTCATACAATAGAAGCATAGGCCACAGCTATGATTAGTTGGTACAATTGTGATGAACCACAAAACTTGCCGTTGCCGACATATTACTTCTCTGTCTAAACATTTTTTGTAAGATTTCTTTTTGACTAAATAATATGATTCATAAAGTTTTGGTATCATAATAGGTTTGATTTGTGGCCATATATATTTGTTTATTTTAATCGACTGTGATTTTCAATCATAAGAATTCACATTACACCCTACTCATTCATGCCAGTACCAAAAAACGTGTTTCATCCATTTGAGTTTTAACAAAAATTTTGACATGTTTTCTGAAACATATATATTTGAAAATAATTAAAAATAAATTGAATTTTTTACATGTTTTGAGACTTTACAATTTTTTATAGACATATATTTATATTTCAAACAAATCTTTCTAGCTCATAATCTATAACCATAAACAATGAGTGTCGATGTGAAAGTCGAGCATATTATTATATAAAAATATATTATCGAATACAATGAATTCTCTTTTAATTAGATGTTCGTTATTAATCGAGTGGAAAGAGATTTTAATTGAGAAGTTGACTTCGAAAGATAATTCAATTTTAAAAAGTATTAAAATGGTTGGTGGACAAATTGACATCACCATAACATTTAGATAAAGACGGAAATAAGACCGTCTTTAAAAGGGTACAGGGTGGTATGCAACACATGTCCTCAAATATTTCATAGTTAAATTGTGATTAAATATAGCCTCTTTGAGCATCTTTAGTGGAAGTATCTTAAGTGGGTAAACTAAAATATTTTTTGTAGGCCCAAAGTGATTTGTAGGATTTAAAAAATTTAAAGTTGATTTGACTTGTTTTTACTTTAATGATAGTTGTTTATAAAAAAACTAAAATTTGACCATATATTTTATATTTTTTAATTGTAATTATTTTTTTTAATAATATAAATAATAATATTATATGTTTCAAAATAAATAGCATACGTTAGCTATATAATTGCCGGAAACTAAAAGTTAGTGAATTAAATGGCATGTCATAGTCATCCCAATGCAAATTCTTTATAATTATCGTTAACTATAAAAAATTTAACTATTAAAAACTTGCATTAAAGATGTTCTTAA